TTAGCTGAGGGGAAACAATAACAAGGAAGAAAAGTCCAATTTTCACACATTGCTTATACAGACCAACCACAACGCATAAGAATTACAATCATTTATGCTCCAGAAAGCATGTGGTGTTGACCGGGAATAGGACCATCCCAGTAGGAGTGGAACAATCTTTATGCCAAATACAACTGAAACCTCTAGGCCCGTGGTCAGCAAACTGCGGCTCATGAGCCACATGTGGCTCCTTGGCCCCTTGAGTGTGGCTCTTCCACAAAATACCACAAAACACCACGTGCGGGAGCGCACGTACAGTGCAATTGAAACTTTGTAACCCATGCACAGAAGTCAGTATTTTGTGGAAGAGCCACACTCAAGGGGCCAAAGAGCCACATGTGGCTCATGAGCCACGGTTTGCCGAGCCGCAGTTTGCCGACCACTGCCTAGGGCCCCAGTGATGGCGAACCTTTTGAGCTCAGCGTGTCAGCATTTTGAAAAACCCTAACTTAATTCTGGTGCCGTGTCACATATAGAAATTTTTTGATATTTGCAACCATAGTAAAACAAAGACTTATATTTTTGATATGTATTTTATATATTTAAATGCCATTTAACAAAGAAAAATCAACCAAAAAAATGAATTCACGTGTCACCTCTGACACGCATGTCATAGGTTCGCCATCACTGGCCTAGGCCCTAGAACTCTGGGGCCAGCACCTCAGTTCAGCATTCAACATTCTGTGTGGTAGTTGGGGCCAAATGTTACTCAGTACACTCCGAGGCACTTCATACCTGCTACAACCGAGGCTGCCAATAGTGGGATCATGTCCTGTTCACTAGCAACAGAATTCTTCAGGAAGCTCATCCCAACCCCGCAACTACACTTAGTGATAACTTTGCATGTGACCACTGCAGTGCGAACAAGGGAAGCGTTCTGTCAGGCAGCAGGCTGAAATGAATAGCTGAGAAACATTTCGCTTCTTGAAGGAAGGATGATAGCTTTTTCCTCTGTGTCCTTTGTACCCAGGATAGTGGTTGACACTTTGGAGCCAGAGAGTTTGAGAAAGGAAGGCTTGAATGGAAGGTCTGGGAGGAAAGAAAGAAAGAAAGCAGGGAAGAAGTCTGATCTGACTTCTAGACGGGGGTGGTTTTCAACTCTGGTTACACACAAACATCTAGAGAGCTTTCTGTTTTAATTCTTACTGAATGGAACACACACAACGAGAAGTGTCCATTAGATGCAGCTTGATGGACACACCTCGGTACATGATTCGGCAGCTCAGAAACTCCTCCTCTGCCCCTTTCTCGTCATCACCTCCAGCAAAGGTAACCACTTTCTGGACTTCCAACACTGGAGATGAGATTGGGCTGTTTTTGAAATTTATATAACTGGAGGAATCAGAAATGTACTCTTTGGTGTCTGGCTTCTTTTACTTAATAAAATGCATGCAATTTATCTATACTGTGTATAGTATTAGTATGTTCATTCTAATTGTTTATAGTGTTCCTCTGGGTGAATATAAAATTAATCTATTCTACTCTTGAGGGATAATTGGTTTCTTTTCTATTTTAGGCTATTCTGAATAGTGCTGCTGTGGACATTTTTGGACATGTCTTTTGGTGTACACAGGGACATTTTTGTTGGGCTATATTTCTGTGTGAGTGGAATATCTAGGTCATAGTGTATGTATATATTCAACTTAGTAGATATTGCCAAACAGTTTTCTAAAGTGGTTCTACCATTGCACATGCCCACTTGTCATGTGTAAGAATTCCAGTTGCTTTATACCCTCATCTTCATTTGATATTGAGTGTCTTTGTCATCTTTACCATTTTGGTGGGTATGTGGTCATATTGCTTTGTGGTTTAGAGTACATTTTCCTGATGATTAATTAAGTTGGGTACTTTTTTCTGTGGCTATTGATCATTTGTATAAAACACTCTCAAAGTTACTACTCTTGTCTTTTGCCCAATTTTCTCTTGACTTTTTTGTCTTTATCTTCTTGATTTGTGGGAGTTCTTAATGCATTTTTGATATGTGTCTTTGTTGGATTTAAATATACCATGTGCATAAGTAGAAAGAAAAGAATATTCTAAAATTGCCAAGTCATATTGTACCCAGCTGAAAGGAAACATATGTCTAGGTTTTGCTTTTAAACTTTCTTAATGCTGTGTTTTGATGAACAGAAGCTGTTAATTTTAAGATAGTCTGATATTTTATGTTTTTCTTATGATAGTAATTTTAATGTCAATTCATAAAAGTTTTACTTACTCTATGGTAATAAATATAATTTATTACTTTTTCTTCTAAAAGTTTTATTATTCTTCATTTAGAAAAACAACCCATTTGAGACTAGCATTTGTATACAGTGTAAAGTGGGGGTTAGATAGGTCTGTGTTGTTTTTCCATTTGGATTTCTAGCAGACCCAGCTTTACTTACCTTTCCCAGCTCACGGCAGTATTCCTCTGTCATGTCAGGTGTGGGTCTGTTTCCTGACTTTCTCTTCTGTTCTACTTTCTCTGTGTGCACTGCTGCGCCGGTAGCACACTGGTTTAAACATTATAGGTTCATAATGGGTCTTGTTATTTGAAGATAATCTTGGTTATGCTTGGCTCTTTTTATTTCATGATAATTTTAGTATCAGCTTGCCAATTTCTACCAGAAACAATATGCTGGGATTTTGATTAGGATTGCATTGCATATATAGATCAGTTTGGAAGACTTGGCAACTTTAGACTATTCTCTTCTTTCTACTTACGCACATGGCATATTTACTTAAGGTGTTTTATATAATTTTCATAGTTTTCAATAGAAAGTAGTCTTGCACATATTTTGTTAGAATTATTCTTTGGTATTTGATACATTTTGATGCTTTTAAAAATAGTACCTGAATGGCTTTTTTTTTCCCTTTCTTTTTTGTTTAATCCTCACCCAAGGACATATTTTTATTGATTTTAGGGAGAGGGAAAGAGAGAGAGAGAGAGAGAGACATCGATGTAAAAGAGAAACATCAATTAGCCTCCTCCAGACCAGGGATCGAACCCACAACCTGGGTATGTTCCCTGGCTGGAAATAGAACCTGCCACCTATGAGTGTATGGAACAATGTTCCAACCAAGTGAGCCACACCAGCCAGAGCAACTCAATGGCATTTTTAAAAGGTCGCCCAGCCAGTATAGCTCAGGGGTTGAGCATCAACCTATGAACCCGGAGGTCAAGGTTCAATTTCAGGTCAGGGCACATGCCTGGGTTGCAGGCTTGATCCCCAGTACAGAGCAAGCAGGAGGCAGCTGATTGATGATTCTCTCTCATCATTGATGTTTCTAACTCTCTCTCCCCCTCCCTTCCTCTCTGAAATCAATAAAAACATATTTTTAAAAAATGCTAAGACATAGACCACATGGTCTAGAGATGCTGATAGAATTCATCTGGGATGAGTCCCCGGCTCCAGTGTTCTAATATACAGCCAGGTTTGAGGACCTATGCTTGATCTAACTCTTTTCCTGCCTTAGGCAAATCAGTTACCCTTTGAGTCATTATTTCATTATTTAAAAATATGGAATAAGAATATCTGCTTCACCAATTCAAAAGTATTCTATATTTATAATTTGTTGCCAGATGTAAGAGTCAGAGGCTTAATAATTTGACCTCAACGTTTTTTTAAGGGTACGGTAAAGCCATACTAACCTGAAGCTGATTTGATCACATTATCCTGGGGCCTAAGCACTCTAAAAAATGAAAATAGTCATCATCAAGACTGTTTAAGAAGGGAGGGTGTTGTCAGGGCTGGGTGACAAAGGTGAAGGGATTAAGCAAAAACAAACAAACAAACATTTACTGATCTTTTTAATTAGGTTAAATCACCTTGTTATATGCTTTTGTAGCATCTTGTACCAATGGCTCTTTTGTAGCATTGATGATAGTGGTAAGTTTATACTTATTTATGTGATCTTTTGCTTAACATCTGTCTCCTCCAAAAGACTACATTTCCTCAGCAACAGGGAGCCATTTGTTTTCTTATTGTGGTATTTCTTACGCTTAGCATAGTGCCTAACCCATAATAGGGGCTCAAAATAGTGTTGACTGTGGAAATGAGTGAATGGACGTACATATAATTGAGTACACGTTGCCCATTCGAGCATCAGAAATGGTGGGCATGTCCCCTGGCAGTCCTAGTCAGCAGGGGGCTGATTTCTTCTCGCAGCCTTTTTTTATTCCTTGAAGGTGTGCGTCTCTTCGTGGGGGTCTACACATGAGGAAAGGTAATGTAAACTGTCTTATCTTCCTCTGAGACATTTGTTACACGTAAAATAAAATGGCCTATTCACAAGTCACAGCTCACTACTCAGGATTTTAAGGTAGGAACTAATTGAGAATAAAGCTAATTTTGTGTATGGAAGGGTAAGGAAACAGATCCTTTCCTGGCATATGCAATGTATTAAAAATAACTAGGAGGAGTGATAGTCTGATCGCTGTTTCTCTGTCTTTGGATCTGTCCCTGTTCATCAGTCTATGTTATTCTCTATATTCCACAAATGGTGAGATCATGTGGTATTTATCTCTCTCTGACTGGCTAATTTCACTTAGCATAATGCTCTCCAGTTCCATCCACGCTGTTGCAAATGGCAAGAATTCCTTCTTTTTTACCGCAGCGTAGTATTCCATTGTGTAGATGTACCACAGGTGTGTGTTTTCCTTACTGCATTTCTGTGAAATGCCCCCCCACCCCCACCCCCCATAGGCATATCCCCGGAGGCATCTCCCCACAGAAAGCAGATTAGTGACTGCCTGAGGCTAGGGCAGGAGGACAGGGAGGGGGCACTGGGAAAGGGAGGCGACTGTTAATGGTATGGGTTTAAAGTCCTACAATGGGCTCCTCTCTGAGGGGGCGTGGCTAGGCCCTGGGGGCGTGGCTAGGCCCTGGGGGGCGTGGCTGGACTCTAGGGCGGACCCAGCCAACTTAAAACCCTGCGGAGGGGTGGCGGCCCACTCTGTGGTGGCTGTTAAGCGTGGAGACATGGAGGAGTGCACTTGCCTCTGCCGTGTGGGTTCTTCGCGGGGATGTCAGTGTCTTCAGGAGCGCCAGCGCCCAGCTGAGACGGCAGCGGCCGAGGGCAAGCCGGCCCTGGCAGAAAAGCACGTGGAGGCAGACGCAGCAGCACGGTGCTGTGCGGGGAGTGGAGGAATCGCGAGCCCCATGCCGCCCCCGCACTGCTATCTGCAGGACCTGCCGGTGGAGATCCTGGTGGAGATCTTCGCCTCGCTCCCCGGCACCGACCTGCCCAGCCTGGCCCAGGCCTGCACCAAATTCCACCGCATCCTGCACATCGACAGCATCTGGAGACGGCGCTGCCGGGAGGAGTATGGCGTTCCTGAAAACTTGCCGAACCAGGAGAGGCGGGGTATGTCTTATCGAGAAGTCTATGCGAAGATGTTCCCATACAAACACATTTTGGGATTGTGGCTTCTGGATCATAGCTATAGAAGACTGCTGAATGTAGTGGTGGATGGCTTATGCATTACTGGCTCCACGTGCTGGCCCCGCCTTAACACCGCTGTGGCTGGCCCAGTGCAATTCGCGCCCGCGTTTAGAATTCGCCTGACGGAGAGGAAATCAGCCGCGGTGGAGTACATGGACAACCTGTACAGCTTGTCCCACCGCCGCCACATGCAGATTCAGAAGGACAGGCTCCGCATCCAGTGGATCAAGAGAGACCACCAGAAGGACTCACCAACGCGGCTTAGGGGAGAACCGGGGCGGGTGCTGCTGGAGGAGGGCAGCCTGCCCGATTACTGCGTGACCTACCGCCGCGTCTACCTCCCGCCGCGCCACCCGGACGACCTCATCAGGCCAGGCCTCTTCCAAGGCACATACTATGACTTCCGCGTAACGATTGCCATGCTCAGCTTCCATGGGAAGTATGCCAGGGTCACGAGCATCATGGGAAACTTAATCTGGAAGTTAGAGATCCATCTCATGCGCCGCATCCAGCTGTCAGATGGCGAGATCCTCCGCAACTTCAACGAGCTCTGCCGCGTGGTCCAGGAGATTGACGAGCAGGTGATCCGGGAGCGGGAGCAGCAGCAAGAAGACGGGACTGAGGAAAGCGAGGGCCATGCCTGGCAGAGCCCTGCCCAGCCCAGCGTCGGGGAGTCCGGGGCTGCCGCTTCGGAGGAGCAGCCTGTCCCGTTTGTTCTGCCTGTGGGCGTGCGCCCCGCTAACCAGAACTACCCCCGAACCTGCAGGATGTGTTTCTATGGCGTGGACACTTTTACTACTACCTTACGTGACTTCACCTACTCCAGGCACTTCCCTGGAGTCTTCATCCTGTTCGATGAGAACCACTTCGGGTTCATCTGGCTGGCGGCGAAATACTTCTTCCTGTTCGGCAGAGTCCAGAACACCTTCCAGAATGTGGAGGCACCATCCCCGCAGGCCTTCCTGGAGATGCTCTCGAACATTCATTCCGGACCCCCTGAGAGGAGCAGCTTCTAATCTATTTACTTTGAAGATTTGACCTTCTGACCAGGTTACCCACCTTTGTTTGTCTTTTTAATCCTCACCCGAGGATATTTTCCCTGTTGATATTTAGAGAGAGTGGAGGAGAGAGGGAAAGACAAATAATTCATGTGAGAGAAACACATCAGTTGTTTGCCTCCTGCCCAATCCCGGACCAGGGCCAGGTTGGGTAAGGGCCAGCAACTGAGGTAGAAATAAACCTTAGACCAGTGGTCTCAACCTTCCTAATGCTGCGACCCTTTAATACAGTTCCTCATGTTGTGGTGACCCCCAATTTCCTTGTTACAAATTGAATATAATTAAAGCATAGTGATTAATCACAAAAACAATATGTAATTATATATGTGTTTTCCACTGGTCTTAGGCGACCCCTGTGAAAGGGTCGTTCGACCCCCAAAGGGGTCGCGACCCACAAGTTGAGAAACGCTGTCATAGACAGACAACAGCATGGTAATTACCAGAGAGAAAGAGGAGTGGGGGAGGTAGAAGAGGGTAAAGGGGGGATCAATGGTGATGGAAGACTTGACTTGGGGTGGCAAACACAGTACATGTAAGATGATGTATTATAAAATTGTACAGCTGAAAGCTATATAGTTTTATTAACCAATGTCACCCCAATAAATTAAATAAAAAATAGAAAATTAAATAAAAAATGACTGTTATTCTTCCCCTTACTCATAGGAGAACCCTTCACTGATTCATTTAAAACCCATTGCTCTTGTGTTCAAGACAGTTCTAACAAGCTTAGTTATCTGGAGTCCCAGACTGCAACAGGACAGAACAGGCAAGAGGAATAGAATAGAATAAAAGGCATGATCACCAGAAACAAACCCATAGGTATTAGGCAGAAATGAATGGCAGAAACAGCAAAGATCGATGGACACAAAGAAGAGCAGGCTGAGCCTTTAGTGTTAAGTGCCGGAAAAAATGAGTCAGTAACACTTTTATTACTAGAGGCCCGATGCACAAAAATTTGTGCACTGGGGGGGGGGGGGGGTCCCTCAGCCTGGCCTGTGCCCTCTCGCAGCCTGGGACCCCTTGGGAGATAACAACCTGCTGGCTTAGGCCTGCTCCCGGGTGGCAGAGGGCAGGCCCAATCCCTAGGTGCAGCCCCTGGTCGGGCTCAGAGCAGGGCCGATTGGGGAGTTGGGGTGCTGCCCCCTGTCACGCACAGAGCAGGGCCCATCAGGGGGTTGAGGAGCTCCCCCCTACCACTCAGAGAGTAGGGCCGATAGGGGAGTTGGGGCACCGCCCCCTGTCACACACAGAGCAGGGCAGATCAGGGGGTTGGGGCGCTGCCCCCTGTCATGCACAGAACAGGGCCCATCAGGGGGTTGAGGAGCTCCCCCCTGTCACTCAGAGAGTAGGGCCGATAGGGGAGTTGGGGCACCGCCCCCTGTCACACACAGAGCAGGGCAGATCAGGGGGTTGGGGCGCCGCCCTCTATCACCCATAGAGCAGGGCTGATCAGGGGGTTGGGACGCCACCACTCTCACACTCAGGGCAGGGCCGATGGGGAAGTTATGGCTCTACCCCATCACACACAGAGCAGGGCCCGTGGGAGGGGTGGGGGTTGTGGCGCTGCCCTCTATCACCCACAGGGCAGGGCCGATGGGGAGGTTATGGCTCTACCCTGTCACACACAGAGCAGGGCCCATGGGGGGAGGGTGGGGTTGGGGCGCCGCACCCTGTCACACACAGAGCCGCAAGGCGATCAGAGGTTGGGGAGCTCCCCCATATCAGGCACAGAGCAGGGCTGATCAGGAGGTTGGGGCACCTTCCCCTGTCACGAACAGAGCAGGGCAGATAGGGAGGTTGTGGCCCCACCCCATGTCACACACAGAGCCGCAGGGCGATCAGGGGGTTTGGGCGCTGCCCCCTGTCACGCTGATCCCTGTGCCGGGAGGCCTTGCAGCTCCGCTGATCCCGGTGCTGGGAGGCATATTACCCTTTTACTATATAGGATAGAGGCCTGGTGCATGGGTGTGGCTGGCTGGTTTGCCCTGAAGGGTGTCCTGGATCAGGGTGGGGGTCCCCACTGGGGTGCCTGGCCAGCCGGGGTGAGGGAATGATGGCTGTTTGCAGCTGGTCACACACCCTTCAGGGTTGGCGTCCCCAATGGTGTGCCTGGCCAGTCTGGGTGAGGGGCTGAGGGCTGTTTTCAGGCTGGCGGGTGACGGAAGCTCCCAACCACTCCTTTTTTTCTTTTTCTTTTTTAATTCTTTGCCAGCTTTAGCTCTGAGGCTCCAGCTCTTAGGCCTTCACTGCTGAAAGTAGGTAATCGAAACAATGTATAACTCCAGCTCTGACTCCAGCTTTGAGATCCCAGCTCGCTGAAAGCTGGTTTCTGGGGTTTTTCTTTTAGCGTCTATATTTGTTACAATGTTTGAAACTGCAGGCTCAGAGGCCTGCAGCGGCCTGCGGGGAACGTTGGAGTCCTCCGTCACTGAAGCAAGCAAGCCTCATGTTAGTTTCAAGCTGCCTGGCTGCCGGCCGCCATCTTGGCTGACAGTTAATTTGCATATTGCCCTGATTAGCCAATGGGAAGGGTAGCGGTCGTACGCCAATTACCATGTTTCTCTTTTATTAGTGTAGATACACAGTCCTATAGCTACTATTCAGTATTTAAGCACAAAAATGCTATCTGCTTTTAAGATAGTGGGAAAAATGGTTAATATATTTTAAAGAATTTCCCCCAAAAAATGATTAAAGTAAAATTTTGGCATTTCTGCTATCTGAAAATACAATTGCATGGTGCTGCTCACCTCTTTGATAGGTTAGACACATGGTCTAACAGATACCACCTCTCCATGGGTGGAGAGGTAAGCCCTTTCAAACCTCTCTTGGTTTATCCGCCTTGTGGGGAAATGCTTTAATTACCATCTGCACAGCTCTGTGTGTGAGGGCACATCTGAAGTCTTGAAGAGTGAATGTCCCAGATTTGACCCTTCCCTTTGTAATCTTATTTGTCATTCAGATGGTTCAGATCTAATGGTTTCAAACTTGCCCGATTCAAACATTTGATTTCCCTGCATTGTCTTCAAGAGCAAATTTAGAAGCAGAATATTTCCATGGGAAACTAAATTATTTCTCCCTTGAGTTGCATTTCGCCAATTCCTGCTTCAATACCTCTGTACCAAATCCTAAAATAGAATGATCGATTCTGCTTTTTATCTGTGAAATTAGACCCTACGAAGCCATTATTCAGCACAAAGGAAGCTGGGGCACATGTTTACTCACACTGAGGCAAACCAGCCCCTGAGAAGGCACCCCAAACTTTTGAAGCAAAAACAGGGATCTGGGGAGCAGATGTTGCTTTCTGCCCACAAACGAGCAAATACATCAATAGGAACCAGGCCTCTGAGCATTTATCTGAACTCAACAAAAATGAATTCAGTCAACAAACATTTACTCAGGTTCCTGCTCTGTGTCGGCTGCTAGAATATCTGGTCTACCGAGTCATGGTTCTGACCTATAGGCCTATGAGAATGAGGCCCCAACAACTTACATACTGTGAAATTTTCCCAGTGTTAGTATTACAGGGAGATTTACTCAACACCGAAGCTGCCTATTTTCTGATAGAAAGATGCCTAATGCATTAGGAGAACTGAAGTCTGGTTTTTCAAAAGGTTTACTTATCGGTAATTTGGGATGGCAGTGACATATTGCTGAAGGCTCTTTGGTTCTGTGACTATGAACTTAGACTCTGGAGCAAGACTCCTGGGTTCAGGTCCAGCTCTCTACCACTTACTTGCTGAGAGATTGTGAGCACACTATCAAGCTTCTTTGGTTCTCAGCTTACTCATCTATAAAATGGGAATAACATTAATACCTTGCTCACAACAAACTTTAGTTTGTTACTAAAATTATTAGATGAGTAAATACATAAAGCACTTAGACAAGTGCCTGGTTCTTAGTCTGCTATCATATCCGGTGGAAAGAGGAGGGTGTAGTGATGGAAGTAATGCATCTCAGGGGTGGGAGGAGTATTTGATCTACAACCTTGTTTAGAATTTCTGGTGTTTGATGACAGAAAAAACAGACTGATCTTAGTCCAGTTTGCTATGGTTTTTATATTACCTAAAGACAGTGCACTTTCTATTGCCTGCATCTGGGGCAAAGTGTTCCTATTCCTCACCCCAAACCCATCCACTGGATACCATAGTACCAATTGCTACACTTAAGGAACCCCCCTCCTGCCCTCCCCCCCTCCCCCGCTATTTCTTATCAAGATCCTTGGCATTTAAATTATAGGCTGGTGACAATGTACAAAAGGGATTTGCTTCAGTAACTAACAGTCTCTAGGTACAGTGCCAATTCCCTTACATGCCATGTTTCATTTCATCTTCACACTAATTTTATGAGGCAGATAACTAATAATCCCCATTTTATAGATGAGAAAACTATAGTTATATTGAGCAGTGTTTCTCAACCTTGTACTATTGACATTGGAGGCTGGCTAATTCCTGGTCCTTGTAAGTTATTTAGCAGCATCCCTGGCCTCTCCCCACTATATCAGGTTGAGATAAGCTGTCAGCTGTGGAAACCAAATGTTCCCTGATGTGACCAATGTCCCCAAGTGTGTCTAAGTCTGAGTTAACCCCACTCCCCACCCTAGTTGAGAACCACTGCTAAAGAAGATAAGTGATTTCCCATCTTCTACCAGCTAGTAAGTGGTAGGATTGAGATATTAATTCGGGAGTCTTAACCATGATGTACTATGACTGTCAAGCAGGGTACCATGCACTGGTTACCAATCCTAGAGAGGAATCTAAACACATCTGCCCATTGCATTTGATTTTGGAGTCACCAAGGAAAACATAATGCAGCCCAGCACTAGATGGAAGAGCATTCTTCTTACCTAAGGAAGAGACAGAGCAAGAATAGCTTTGATAGTAGGCGTTGGTCCCACAGGGCCTGTAGGGGAGGGTGGTGCTGGGGGGTGGGGAGGCACTCCATGTGGTCAACACAGGGCAATTTATGCACATCCATCTCCTGCCACAGTGCAAGGAACCCTGTACCTCCCTGCAGAGGGCAGACATAGCAGTGGGGTTGGCCAGGTGCCATATGACGCACACTTTCAGCAGAGACAAAAGAGCGCTCAAGATATTCCCACAGAAGGTCAGTCATAAGCCAGCACAGGCTACACGGGCTCTTTATCTCTTGGTAAGGAAGTGGCCCAGGCCCAAGCCCATTCTTGTGCAGCCCAGTGAGGACTGAAAGACTGCACCCCGAGTCTGCCTTTCCCAGCAATTACATTCTTATCCAGTCCAACGGTTCTCCAAGTGTGGTCCCAAGGCCAGCAGCAGCAACATCACTTGGTAACTTGTTGGAAATGCAGATTCCTGGGCCCCACCTCAAATGTATTAAATTAGAAACTCTGAAGGTGGAACCAGCTCCCTGTGATTCTGAGCTAAAGTTTTATTATCAGTAGGGTGCCTTCTGCATCCCTGCCTGTTACTGGTGGAGGTGGAGTTCTTGGTGTGCCACAAGAAAAATAATTTCCTGAGTCTCCCCCCCCTCCTCCCCCCGGGGAGGATGAGGTATTGTGAAAAGCTTCCTTGATGATGTAACATGAAGGGGATTCCCTTCCAAGGTCCCGTCTTGCCATAGAAAAAAATCCAACCTTGTTTTCAGCAAGGCCAAGATCAAAGCCACTTCCCAGAGTGTCTGCTCCATATTAAAGCAGGGTCCAGTCCAGCATCCGGCTAGGTTAGCTTGTATTCCCAGCTGCAGTCCATCACGTGTGGGATCCACATGGCCATGTGGCTGCTAAGGTCACATGGCAGGTTAGTGCATGGGCGAGTGCAGGCCCTGGAGCAAGTGAGAAACAGGAGCACAAGAGCAAGAAAGAGAGTACGAATTCTTTGTCTGGGATTTTAACTGGGAGCTTCACCAATTAAGCCTTCAGGATTTTGCACCCTTACATTGGCTCTGCCCTCCTAGCCAATGATCTTTGTTCCCCAGGCTAGACTGCAAGCTCCTTCCTTACATCACCCAACTTCACTGCCCATGTGCCCATCTCCCCCTTTGTTTTATCCCTCCCCCCAGTGATCTGCAGGGAATGGACCAGTGGTTCCCTGAGGAGCATGAAGTTGCAGCTTCCTGGTGAAGCTGCCCAGATGGCCATGCTTATAATGTCTGGTCTCCCCTTTGCTCTCTTCCTATTATTAATATCAACTAGCTAGTTAAAGGGGGAACAGTTTGAGAACCACTGATGTAGTTCAATGGCTCTCAGCCTAGGCCAGAGTCATTAGATGCTTCCTCCATTTTCTGGCTCACATTTCCTGGTACTAAACTTCTTGTGTTAATTCATTGCTATTTGAAATGACCTATCATTTTCATCTGTAGTGACCCTCACCTATACTTGTGGACAAAAAGGGGCCACATATTAAGCCTGACAAGCTCAGGGGAGGCCTGCATGGCAGTTTTGCAAACTCAGAGACAAAAAGTAATGACATAGGATGGCCTGAAACTAAAACTTTCTGACTAAAAGCAGTGCATGATGGGTTGTATTTTTCCCTAACAAAGGTCAACCTTCACCTTAACTAAGTCTGTCTGTTGTCTTTTTGCATCACCTGATAACATACCTTTGGATTATCGAAGTAATTCACCCTCCCACCTCAAAGCAAAACCACTGGCAACAGAGCAGAGACCACAATACCTTCACTGTTATGGTTTTCATGTTGTTAACTGTTAGCTATTCTATACCCGCCTGTGTAAAAGATGTGTCCATTCCTTCTACTTTTTATCCAATCCCAGAAATTCCCTCCCTTCACTTTGCTTTCTCCCGCCTCCCTAATCTATCATCAATGGATTTCACATACCCCCTTTATGTTTCCCCCTTTGATTCTGATGTATGAAATAAGTGGCAAAACTGCCATTTTCTTGAGATTTTGCTTCCCAGCAACTCTTGTCATTTGGCTCATATAAATTCTTACAGATTTGGACATTTCTTATGTTGACAATTTCTTACCCTTTTTGTGCCTCAACTTTGTCCTCTTTAAGCCCGAAAGAAATGCTGGTGTTGGTAAAGAATGTATGACTGAGAGAGAGAGAGAGAGAGAGAGAGAGAGAGAGAGAGAGAGAGAGAGAGAGAGAGAGAGAATTCTGACCGAGAAAGTACAAGGTAAGCCTTCTTGCTCTGAAGTTTGTATTCTGCAACCGACTGAATTACAAAGCAGGTGGCCCAATCCATTTATCTCTGCCTGTATCAGATGCAGACACATTACAATGGAAGCTGTGCCACCCAGGAGGTGCAGAGGCAGCCTACACAAAACACAGACCTCTTCTGTGTGCAGTCTGGCTAGAGTGAGACTGTTCTAGAACTCTGGGTAAGTGCTCCTAAGGAATTTGAGGGGGCAGCAGCTGGCAGAGACGCCAGGCCTCCCTCTCTGAAATATTGAGGGTCTTGCCTAGGCGGCATGGGTGAGGTGTCCTATTTTTATCACTGGTCTGCTGCCTCTGGTCTTTCTCAGGATGCCCACGGAGGGAGAAATGGGGCTGTTCTGCTTCATTGAAAACAAAGGAAGGAAAGGAAGGCACTTTCATCGTATTCTTGAGAGAGACTAGAAAAAGAACAAAGAACAAAGCAAGAGAACAAAGGCCCCTGGGGGTTCGCAGTGGTTTGTTCATTTCTTCTTTTAAATAGAAGGATGGCCTAAGCTAATTTGATTTCCAACAATAGAATAATCAACAGAAACTCCCTGGAAGCAGCTCCCAAACTCCCAGGATGCTTGCTCACATAGAACAATCTCAGCCTTCCCAGAAATTCAGTTTTAACAAATGCCTAAAAGTTATGATGGGGTCTGAGGACCGATCTCCAGAGCTGCTTCTCGATGGACATTTTTTCATTGTAGTTATTATACAGTCATATGGCACATAAGGACATTTCGGTCAATGAAGGACCACATATACAGGAGTGGTTTCATAAGATTGTAATGGAGCTGAGAAATTCCTATTGCCTAGTGACCACATAGCTGCTCTGACATCATCGTGAAAGGCACAACTCACGTGCTTGTGCTGATGCCGATGTAAACAAACCTACTGCACTATCAGCCATATAAAAGTACAGTATAGCATGTACCATTATGTGCAGTACATAGTACAAGATAATGACAATAAATGACTATGTTACTGGTTTATATATTTACTACTCTACCCTTTTTATTGTCATTTTAGAGTATGATCTTCCTACTTATAAAAAAATTAAAATTTGCTGAAAACCGGTATACTGTGTCATGCTGGCAGCAGCCTCATGCATCTCATGTTTACCTTGTCTCTTCATTGCATCATTTTCTCTTGTGCTTGATTTAATCACGTGTTGTTTGGGACAGCAGCACGCTGAATAGGCTTGTAGCCTAGAGCAATAGGCTCTACCTTATAGCCTAGGTGTGCAGTGGGCTATGCCATCTAGATGCACGTAAGTGCCTCTATGATGTGCATGCAGTGAAATTGCCTATTGGCAATTTTCTCAGAGCATATCCCCATTCTTAAATGGCCATGACTGTATTGCATTGGCATTTTAAATGATTCACGACTTTCATCTGCATGACCCTGGATAAATTGTTTCCCTTCTTTGTGCCTCGGTTTTCTCATCTGTGAACTGGAGAGGGATACTGGGGTTGCTAAAAGAGCATATGACTTGGTGAGAGAGAATTGTGCTTTTGGTCTTTCTCATTTATTAAGCGTTTAGATAATTTATGGCAGGAACTAGGTCTGAGTGCTGGCATGCACCTGGCATGTAAGACATGTTTGTTGAATGAATGGATGGATGAATTCTTACATGAATGAATGAACAAAGATGATGAGATGACAAAAGCTCCAGAAAACTTTTGACCCCTTGGCTTAAATAGCTTCTCAAAATTGGCAAATTGTATTAGAATCACCTCCTCACATATTTTACCAGCCCATCCTACCATAGTACTTTCTAGGTGGTGAGCTCAGTGAGATCAACACTATCTTTTACTTTCTTTATTTAAAAAATCTGTATTTTCATCATCATGGTGGTGGGAAATTCTTAATAGTATTAACGTGATAATATATTTACAGAAGTCAAAATCTCAAAGTTGAACTCCTGAGTTCTTCTTAGTCCACACATCCCAAGGTAGCCAATTATACCTTTTTTTTTCTTGCAGAGGGAGGCAACCAGTGGTGGCGGCAGGGGGCAGAGCACTGAGCAGGTGGCATCAGGCCGGCCAAGGCGGGTGCCAGCAGGGCCCCCTGATCACCCTGCCAGTCACCCCACAGATTGGCCCTGATCGCTGGCCAGGCCTAGGGCCCCTACCCATGCATAAATTTCATGCACAGGGCCTCTAGTTTTTTATAATGGCACAATTTAAAAGTATGTGTATGCACTACTATCAGCAATAAAAAGGAGTTGACTATTGTTACACAAAACTTGGATGCATTTTTAAAGTTGCTAAGTTTAAAAAGCTCATCTCAAAAGGTTATACTGTATAATATGTATGGATATATGTAGTATTCCTAAGATGACAAAGTTATAGAAATGGAGAACATATTAATGGTTATGAGGGATTAGAATAGATCAGGAAGGAAAGGGGGCGGCTTTGGCTGTAAAAGCATAGCGTGAGGGACATTTATGATGAAACTGTTCTGTACCTTGACTGGTAGTAGTTATAGGAATCTACATTTACAATAGAATTGCTTAGAAGTAAACACACACACATACATGCATAGAAGAGTTTATGTAAAACTGGTGAGATTTAAATCAGGTCTATAGACTCTACCAAGGGCAATTTCTTGGTTGTAATAATTTACTATATTTCAGCAATTTTCAACTAGTGTGCTGCAAGAATTTTTAAAACATTTAATATCTGACTATTAGGTCAGGGGCACTGACCTTTTTTCCCTTAGATCATCAAATAAAAAAATGACAACAGCTAACAATAACAGCTATCTGGTGTCAATGAATCAAAATCATAGGTTTGTTGTTTTTTTGTCAGTTTAGCAAAACATATATTTTTTGGTGTGCTGCAGAAATTGAGTAATTAGTATGTGAGTCATGAGATAAAAAATGTTAAAAACTTTTTTAAGTATATATTCTGTATGTATTTCTGTATGTATGTATTACATGCATGCACACATAATAAATCTCTATTTATTCACCCATCTAAAGAAAGTAGAACATTGTCATACTGTTGGTCGTCCTGAAGCCCTCTTTCTGATGCCAATTTCCCTTCCTCACCTCCCAGAGCAACCACTATCCTGAATCTTGCATTTCTCATACCTTTGCCTTTTTTCTTTTTTTAAATAATTTCACTTTGTAAACTGGATTATCAAAAAACCCTTTGACTCTCCTCCAGGGGTATACAGGGAATTGGATCAGTTATCTTCAGAATCATCATGGCTATGCCATGTTAATGGCTTTTAGAATTTTTCTCGGCTGACCCGGGTTTCCTTTCAGAACCTGCTTCATTCTGCTGGTTTGCAGTGAAAATGGTGTAAAATGGTGTAATTTCCCCCGTTTCTGAGAAGCCATTTGAAAGATGATGCTGGCTGCCACTTGAAATTTTCTTTATTGGTCCTGAATAATAGATCCCCCCAAGTTCATCTCACTGGAAGATTTGAAGGGAATCTTATTATTTTGGAGAGTCACTGAGAACCTAGGCAACACGTCATGCGGTTTATGTAAATGCTAAATTGCAATCGTTATCAAGCTATCACCGGCTAGCCAGTACACATGCCGATGTGGTAGGTGGTTTTCCTTCTTCAATCCCAGCCTTTTCCTCTCATTTGAAGACATGCATTTCCGGAGCTAAGGCTTCACTGGTGGTTAATGGTGTAACAGCAGCACTAAAGAGCACTCCTCACTTTTGCTAAGCACTTCACACATTTTGAGTCTCTAATCCTCACAACCACCCCGTGGGGAAACTGAGGCATGAGGGGTTAGAGAATCTCTTCAAGGTTAGGGGCAGAGCTAGGATTTAACCCCAGGCAGACCCTGCTCACAATAACCATAGTCAACTGTCTCTACAGAGACATACATATTTGTGTGGTTAATGTGTAGGCAGATTTCAAAAGAGACAGTGGAAAAGGCCAGTATAAATGGTTCAAAATCTGAACTATATTTCTTAAGACACATGGCTTTGT